CTTTAAGAGAGAAATCTAACTTTACTACGATGTTTCTTGAAAGTATTCAAATTATTCTTATTTCGCTCTTAAAGCTTCCTCTATCAGGAAGCCATGTGCAAATTTCTAATTTGCACACTTTACTTTACTTTACTTTTTTTTCTAATTAGAAATTTGCACAATGCTTCCATTGTTATGGCTTCCTCATAGAGGAAGCTTTAAGAGCGAAATAAGAATAATTTGAATACTTTCAAGAAACATCGTAGTAAAGTTAGATTTCTCTCTTAAAGCTTCCTTTATGAGGAAGCCGTAACAATGGAAGCAATGTGCAAATTTCTAATTTGTCTACTTTAATGATGAGGAAGAAATGTGGAAATTTCCAATTTGCACGCTTCAATGATGAGGAAGCAATGTGCAAATTTCTAATTCGCACACTTTCAAGAAACATCGAAAAAAATTAGATTTCGCTCCTAAACCTTCCTCTATGAGGAAGCCATGTGCTAATTTCTAATTTGCACACTTTACTTTACTTTTTTTTAATTATATATTATATTGTTCTTCAGTTTTTCAATCCAAATTTCATATATAAGTCATTAAAATATGATTAATTAATTCTTGAGTTATAGACATTTGAAATTTTTGGAAATCATTATAAAGAAAATTTGCAATAATTAGAGTGACCACAGACATTTCTAAAAAAAAATTCAAAATTAAAAACCTTTTACCGGTCATCGCCATATTCAAGAGGTATACCTCTACCTATGTGTATTGAAACTTTTTGCTTCTACAAGTGTGTACATTTCTTCATTACATTGTGTACCATCACTTCTGAAACACCCTGTATAATGAAAAAGAGGGGCCTCTACCTATGTTTATTAGGACTTTTTGCTATAATGTATACATTTCACCATTACATTTTGTAGCATCACTTTTGAAACACCCATATAATGAAAAAGTGTTCATGTACGGATTCCATGAAATTTCAAACATCTATAACTCAAAAACTAATCAACCGAACATTAATCAATTGTATATGAAATAGGGGTAGAAAAGACTGGAAAGAATAATAGAATTAGAAATAGCCCGATATCTTAAATATTTAAAAAGTTATTCAAGAATTTCAACGTAAATATACATATATATGTATGTATAAACTGAACCCTTGCACCGATTATCGTCAAATACAATACCAGCCATCTCTTAATCACACTCAATAAATTTGCCAAAGTAGAAAGAGATATCTCAAAAATTGCGGAGGTGAGAGCGCGAACAATTATTGCGCACGCGCACACACACACGCACACGCACACGCACACGCACACGCACACGCACACGCACACGCACACGCACACGCACACGCACACGCACACGCACACGCACACGCACACACACACACACACACATTTTTTAAATAAGTGTGTTTTTTTTGAGTTTTTAAAACATTCTAAACCCATTGGCAATGAAAACTGGAAAAAAATTTTTCGCATGAAAACAAAGCTTCCTCTATGAGGAAGCAAAAGTCCAGATGTTGAGGAAGCAATGTGTAAATTTTCAATTTGCACCTTTAAAATTAAAAAAAATTGATTAGACAACTTGCCAAAATGCTGATGTTGCATTTTGCAAATTTCCAATTTGCTCCTTTATTTAGAATTTCCCTTTTCCCTTCCCTCCCCCTGGTCCCATTCCCCCTAACGGCGGAAACCAAGTTTTTGGTCCTTGGTGTAATAATTAATAAATTAATAACATCAGTTTTTGGACACCATTATCTAAGGTCGATGGTATGTTAAGAAACAAGAGTGGTAATTATACATATATGTTGAGAATTGCTTATTTCTGGATTGCGTTGTGGCCGGCCTGTTACATATTACCAAAACACAACAGACATGATAGATGCGCGCTCGACTCAGGCGCTCGTCGCGGACATAACTATTCGCCATCTAGGGGTTACGCAATGACATGTCAAGGCGGTACAATTAAAATTAAAATAACGCTATGGCGCTAACATCCCGCCCACCAAGATTAGACAACTAATCTTCGTTATGAGACTAATCGTTCACAGGTAATTTGCAAAGTTTTGAGACTGCACGTTTAGTAGCGCCGGAAGACGTTCGCACCGTCACGATACGCACCAATCCGTCCTTCCCGGTGTGAGTCTCTATAACACGCCCCATTCTCCACTTCAAAGGCTGAATATTGTCATCCCTAAGTAGCACGAGATCATTGACTTTTAAATTATTCTGCTCCGTTTTCCACTTGACGCGGCTCTGCAGATTGGCCACGTACTCAGCCGCCCACCGCTTCCAAAAGTCCTGAAGGGAACGCTGTATCAGCTCCCATCTGTCAAGGCGATTGGACCTTACGTCCGACAGGCTGATCTCAGGAAGGCTGGTCAACGGTCCCCCTATTAAAAAATGTCCTGGAGTTAAGGGCTGCAAGTCTGATGGATCCGGAGACAAGGGTGACAATGGTCTAGAATTTAGGCACGCCTCGATCTGTACTAGAAGCGTGGTCAACTCTTCGAAGGTCAACAAGGTATTGCCCATCACGCGCTTCAGGTGGTATTTGCAGGACTTCACCCCGGCTTCCCATAGGCCTCCCAGGTGAGGTGAGTGAGGGGGAATGAAGGTCCACTCGATATCATCGTCGAGCAAAGCGTCACCAACTGCTCCATTTATGGAATTCCGGACGAAGGAGTAGAGCTCCTCCAATTCTCGTTTGGCGCCTGTGAAATTCGTAGCATTGTCACTACAAATTTTACGAGGTATCCCTCGTCACGCTATGAATCTCCGCAGAGTCGCCAAGAACGCCGCTGTGGTCAGTTCACTCGTTGCTTCCAAATGAATAGCCCTTGTCGCAAAGCATATGAATAATGCTATGTAAGATTTGCAGATTTTCCGAGCACGTCCCTTATTGACAAGTGTAATAATCGGGCCCGCAAAGTCCACGCCAGTAATCGAAAAGGCCTGACTCTGGAAGGCCTGACTCTGTCCCCAGGAAGTGATCCCATGGCTTGGGTCAGACCTCTCGGATTATTTCTAGCACACCAGACACACGAATGGCAGATTCGTCGTACCAAATTTCTAGCATTCAATGGCCAATATTGCTGTCGAATTGATGCCAATAGTAGTTGAGGACTGGCATGCAGTAGCGCGCGATGTCCTCTTTCAATCATTAGATGTGTAATCTTGCATTTCGCTGGCAGCAAAATTGGATGTTTCCTATCAAAACTCCATGGAGTTTCCTGAAGTCGGCCGCCCACCCTGAGGACACCATTTTTGTCGAGGAAGGCATGCAACTGATGCAGACGACTCGCTCTGCTCAGTCCTTTATTGCCTTGTAGATTCCTCAGATCTTCCTTGAAGTACACCTGTTGTGAATATTTGATTATTTCACACCATGCTTCTTCCAACTCTGGCAATGTTAACCTGGATAGAATTCTGTCTTCCTTTTTCTTGCGGCAGTTGGAGATGAATCTAAGGCAATAAGCCAAAGATCTCTCGATTTTTGTTAGCGTTGAACAATCCTCGACCAGCTTGTGGATTATCTCGCTCGGTGATGACGGCTGTTGTACGCTCAAATGGCAGACTTGTCTCTCCCTTCTCATCTCCTCTTTAGCGCTGGAGATATCATCCTCGATGAACTCCCATTCAGATTTCTCTGGATCTGGTGAATGGGAAGGAACGGCCAGCCATTCTGGACCATTCCACCATAGATGGCTATCCTTGAGTTGAGCAGGTGTGGCTCCTCTTGAAATCAAGTCAGCTGGATTTTCCAGACCCTTGACATGGTTCCAGTGAATTGCAGGTAAAATCTCGATGATATCCGATACGCGATTCGACACAAAGGACTTCCATCTCGATACATCCCCATGAAGCCAATAAAGTACAACCATGGAATCGGACCATGCAGAAATTCCGTCGACTCTTATTCGCATCGCTCGTTTGACCTTATCAATTAATTTCGATAACAATAACGCACTACACAATTCCAATCTAGGAATAGACGTTTTCTTTAAAGGAGCTACTCTCGCCTTAGAACATAACAATTCGACTGTTGTCCTGCCATCATTTCTATTCACAGATTGCAAGTAGATGCATGCACCGTACGCCTTTTCAGACGCATCACAAAAGCCTTGTACGAAAAACCGATTATCTCTCAAAGAACTAGCAATTACTCGAGGTACTCGTAGTGCATTAGCTTCCTTTAAATTTTCTTGGAACCTCTTCCATCCGTCCAAGACTGCATCAGGAAGAGGGTCATCTCAATCCACTTTAATTTGCCAGAGCTCCTGCATTAAAACCTTGGCTTTCGTTAGAACTGGGCCTATCAATCCCAGAGGATCGAACAGCTTGCTGATCGCCAACAACATCCTACGCTTTGTGGATACGCCACCCACCATTTGTACTTTAAAGAGGAACTCGTCTGAAGCAGGATTCCATTCGAGACCCAAGGCGCTAGTGGTGTCATTCGTGTCAATATTTAAATTTGAACCCGACTCGCGCAAATTCATTGGTATTTCTGTTAATACGCTTTCCGAATTAGAACACCATTTATGCGCCTCGAATCCCCCCTCACGCAACAAACTCGACAATTGCTCCTGCAGAGCACGAGCCGCATCGACTGTGTCCGCTCCAGAAATTATATCATCGACGTAAGTATCATTGAGTATTGCGGACGATGCAAGTGGATATTTCTCTAATTGTTCCATTGCCAATTGTCTAAGACATCGCACGGCCAGGTACGTCGCACAACCCTGGCCGTAAGTAACGGTATTTAAACGATACTCCCCTACTGGTTCGTCTAAGGAAAATCGCCATAGAATGCGTTGGAAATCTCTGTCATCAGGATGAACTAACACCTGACGAAACACGTAAATCTGCTGTCAATGCAATCTTGCAACAACGAAACCGTATTATTATATCAATCAAATCGTCTTGTAATACCGGTCCAATATGGAGAGCGTCGTTCAATGACACGCCTACGTTATTTTTCGCCGATGCATCAAATACAACGCGTAGTTTTGTACTAGTACTAGATTCCTTAAATACCCCATGATGAGGCAAGTAAACTGTATTCTCGGGATCGCTAACGGGATCGCTTACAATTGACATATGGCCTAACTTGACATATTCAAACATGAACTGAGCATAGCGATCGCGATATGTCAAGTTGCCCTTAAATGCACGCTCCACATGATTGAGTCTCCTAAGCGCTATTTTCCTGTTACTACCGATGGGTAAATCTTTGTCTCGAAACGGCAGTCTTACGATAAATCTACCGTCGCTTGCTCGCGTAGTAGTTTGTTCAAAATGTTGTTCGCATTTCTTTTCATCCATCGATAGTACTCGGGCATCGGGAACGTCGTAATTTTCCAACCTCCAAAACTTTTCTAGGCTCTCGCTTAAAGCTTCGCTAGACTTCAACGAACAAGTTAGCGAGCTCACCGTGCCTTGATTGCAAGTCAGATCTCCTAGTGCAATTGATGGCATTACTCCTGCTACTATCCATCCGAGTTTGGTGTTCTGCAAGATCAATTGCCCCTTTTCAAGTTCTATTTTTCCCGGCTCCATTAAATCGAAAAAGAACTCAGCGCCAATTAGCATATCTATTGGGCCCGTCTTGCAAAACCCCAAGTCGGCCAGAGTGAGATTGCTGGGCAAGTGTATCCCGCCAGAATCCATCTCTGAGGATGGCAAGTTTTTAGTGATTCTGGGTACAATCAAGCATTGAGCGTTAATTCTGAAGTTGGAACATCTCGACTTGACTTGAACCTCGCAAACGCTACTCACCCTGTTCTCTATTTCGTTTAAACCGGTAACGATCTCGGATACTCGACTTCGCTTTAGACCTAACCTGTTATGAGCTGCCTGAGTAATAAAATTAGCTTCGCTCGCGCTGTCAAGAAGCACGCGTATCTCCACATGCGATCCATTGCGTTGCGCTGCCTCCACTATCGCTGTGGCCATAAGTATTCGACGCCCGTTTGTGTGGTTTGAGGCGTGAACTACCACCTTGTTAATTGTCTCGTTACTTGTCCCGCTGCCATGCTCCGGGACCTCTGGGTTCGCAGTGACCCTGTTGTCCTGCGATAGGTGGCAGAGAGTATTGTGCCTCTCCCCACATTCCTTGCATCTACCCATTCTGCAGGTCCTTGCGAAGTGGTCGTTTTTTAAGCAGTTCAGGCACAACTTTAATCGTCTGAACTCCTTGATTCGGTCAGGGACTGGCAAATCTAGAAATTTCTCGCAAGAATATATGAAATGTGCCCCATTGCAAAGATAACATTTACCTGAGTTTAGAGAGGTGGTCAAAGAAGCCGTTCTTTGTTTTGCAACACCCCTAGCTGAGGATTGTGATTTCAAACCAGTATTGGCAGATCCCTTGGAGGATTTCTCCATCTTATCGACTGACCTCGACTCAATACGCTCCAAGGTTTGGCATCTCCTCCTCAAAAACTGCAACATATCGTCCAAACTTGCCTCTTCTTTTCTTTCCAACTCCTCCTCCCAAGCTCGAAGAATTCTCACATCGAATCTCGCTTCCATCATATGCATGACGAGCTCATTCCACGCCTCAGTAGGCGAACCTAGAACCTTCAATATCCTTAAATGGCTTGAAGTATAATCGATTAGATCACGAAGAGCCTTTGCGGACTCCTTCGCCACCGTTGGCATTGTAAATAGACTCAATGTGTTTTTTCTTAAGGGACCTAGGATCGTTGTATCGCTGCTGCAATAAATCCCATGCGGTCATGTAATTATCCTGTGATAACTCAATCGATTCTATGATTTTCGCGGCATCACCCGAAATCGATGTAACTAGATATTGAAGCTTGTCCATATTGAACAGATGTGGCTTGTCGTGAATCATTGAGCGAAAACTATCCGAAAAATATTTCCACTCCTCGATTTTTCCATCAAAACGCGGAAGTTTAATGGTAGGTAACTTGCCCTAGTAGCAATTTACATTGAACCAATATTGGAAAAAAATGAATATCCAATGTTAAACATTGGTTATGTATTGCTGCTCCAATATTGGTTAAATATTGTAAAGTGGATATCGCCTGTTATTAAGCCAATATATCTAATGCAATATTGGGCTAATATTGTTTGATAATATTGGACCAATATTACATAATAATATTTACCCAATTTTATACATTGAATATTAATCGCATCCTAATGTAACGCTCATTTCTGCTAGTAATTAGGCGCGAAAAATTATCTAGCGGCTACCTAAAAACCCATAACTCGTACTTATCTAGCCGGGGCTAGACAGTGAAGAACTTGCAAAACAAAAAAAATAAAAATAAATTTTTTATTTGTTAAGATATTTTTATTCTCTCTACATCAGTAGTAGTACCTTCTAATTTCTTAATGTTATCTTATACTTAAAATATGTGAAATCATATGTGAAAAATTTGTTTTACCACTGCTGGATTCGAACCTGGGATCATCAGCTCTTCAGTCTTCTATCTTGTGTCCTCGGCCACTCATGTTCTTGTATAATTAAGATGAAAGTTATATCTTATATAAATGATTTCGTCATAATACATCAATATATGTATATTATATAACGCGAAAACTAAATATTTAAGTGTCAGGAGAATAATTATAATCGACTGTAATTTGTTAATTTCTGGAACCTCAAACGTTTTAAAATCTCATTGTAAACGCCGCGTCAGGTTATATGTTGGCTTTATATTAGGAAATATTGGCCAATGTAAACGCAATGCCGTTATTACTTCTTAAAACGCAATATTGACAGTACATTAGCATGAATTCC